TGTAGCGGTACGACCGATGGTCGCGCCATCTAAGTTACTAGAAGGCTAGGGAACCACGCTAGCAAGTGTGGTCACCAGACGAGTAGAGTCTGTGCGTAGCCGTTGAGAAGTGTACAACAAAGAAAAGCAAGTCGCATCCTAACAATAAAAATCATAAAACAAAATTCAGTCTAATATTATCTTTACTATAGAGAAACCCTCTACACACTGGTAGTTTTGATAACGTAGCATATAATTAGAGTTAAATAAAAATGTCAAATAAAGTATTATTTCTTAAATCTGGATTTCCACGAGCTCCTTTAGGGCTTGGAATTGGTCGTTATGTGTGTCAATTACAAAGAGTGACATTAAAGTTCTGTAAAAGTTCTGGTTCAAATAAAGGAATGAGGTAGGTTATAGTTACTTTCCTTTTTCTTCTTAAGATAACATAATGTGTTTATTTTTAAAAGCCTATGTAATTATACAATTATAATACCGTTGATTATAAAATGAAAAGAAATTAATATTGATTTTGGACTTGTATTCAGAGATTTTTTGGAACATGATTTGATAGACTTTTCCAACCAAAATCCTGGTATTGTAGTATATGTAAAACCAAGACGACATAGGTCGCCAGTTATAGTTGCAGAATATTGTAAGTGTGGCAATGTTATTTGATAATAATGATAAGGTAACACTAATAAGATAACAATATATTGTATCTTCTATAGTAAACGGAGAAAGACAATGGATGAATGTTAGCAATTATGCTAGAGAGGATATCGTTAAGTGGATGGAAGTATTACGTACTCAATTTCATGATGGTCCAAAATTGCGTGTAAGAAAATTTTGGCATACAGAATTTCCTTCTATTCAAGGACCGTGGACACCTTTAACGTTTAGAGATCCAAGCCATAATTTAGCACAGTTTCCTAACGTAAATATAATTCAATGTTTATATATAATATGACTTTAATAAACATTTATTTCGCTGTAAATATAATTAAAATATATTTAAAACATCGACATTACAGAAGGAAATCGGTGCAGCTGTTAAAACAGAACCGACTGCAACTGAACAATTAATTGAATTATTTAAAGCCCAGCAAATGTCTGAACAACATCAACAACAACAAGAAATAGAAGTACAAACAAACACTTCAGAGAAATCTAATTAATATAAAACATAAAATGAAATGATGTAGAAAAGTAATGAAAATTTAAATACATGCATATATATATTTAAAAAATTATTGTAAGAAATAATTATTTTATTATTTTTTTAGTCGGCGTATAGTACACAATAAACACCGTTTTCAAATTCATTAGTTTATCGATGCATAATATTTCAAAAATTACTTTTAACCCTTTGACTGCTATGGGTGCATATATGCGTCCGACGCAAGCCATCGATATAGACTATGGACGCAAATGTGCGCTTGGCGAAGTTTTGGCTGTTTACTGTTTTCTTATATGTATGCTCGGAAATACAAAAAAAAAAAAAGAAAAAAAAATAGTATTTTGTCCCCAGCGATCGCTTCAACCTAGAGTAGTTAGCAGTCAAAGGGTTAATATAAACTGTTTAAATAGCAGTCAATATTTAAGTTAATTTTTTGAAAATTTATTACATCTTATACATTTTATACATTCATTTTAATATGCTTTTTTCTTAATTCGTATTAAATTTATGGAAAATAATCTAAAGTACAAGTTTAAACACAGAGAAAATATAATAAAAGATAGTAATATTCTGTCAATTTTTGTTTCTTTTTTAAGCATAGAGATACATAATCTGAGACATACAAATGTACCTATTATCTGGAATTTTATCAAATAAAATTTCAATTTTAGACATTCAGTTTTTTTTCGACACACATAGATACTTGTTGTGTATATATGAAACTTTGAATATACATAACTAACTAATTACATACTTTAATCCTACAAAAATATATTTTGACACTTTTCATATAAAACTTGAATATGACGTGTATATATATAAAAAATGTCATTTCTAAAAGAATAAATATATAAGAAGCATATCATAAAAAATAAATAATTATCTTAAATGAAACATTTCTATTATAACAATTTAAATTATACCTATAGGAATAATGAATTCTATTTTATTTAACTTTTAACCCCTATAAAATGTAAAGTATTATAAAACAGCACACGTTTAGCGCTACACAAGTAATATAAATTATTAATATTGTTAAATGTATAATGTATTATAATTAAGAAAAGAATGAATTTTCTCTTTTCTCTCTCTCTCTCTCTCTCTCTCTTTTTCTAACATAATAGTACAATTTTTAAATTCTTATTTAAAATTGACAATTACTGTGCTGCTATTTGTATGAAAAGTATTATTTGTTAGCGAGTATTTATAGAAATTAAACTATTTCTTAATTTTATCATAAAATTAACTAATCAAATGTAGAAAATATTTTTAATATATAAGTAAGCTTATAAACTAAAGCAATTATAAGTTTTAGTACTTATTGTTTTAATAAAATAGAAAGCACTAAATGTTTAATAACAATTTTAGCAATATATGACAGATTGTATTTCAGATTCTTATATGTTTTTACCAAAATAATATTGAAATAATCAAGAGTATCGTAAACTAAACAATAATCTTTATTCATTTTTAAGAAAACAATAGAAAATAAAAATTTGTTTGTCTCTATTATTTTTGTCGACATAATATTAAATAATTAATTAAATGTGATACTTTGGACAAATATTTTTAAATGTAGTTAGGTTATTTGTCAAATTTCTTTTGAATCAAAAAAATTTGATAAAAACAATAGAATAATTACTATTATTAAAATATATATATATAATAGTAGTTTTGTGTAAATTTAAACATACACTCGCACAAGCAAAACAATACTACACTTTTCATAACATATAAATACTAAAAGTTCAATCTCTAAAACTTACAAATATGGTTCTTGCACTTTTGAAATAAATAATTTTTTCTTTAATAAGATTATGAACATATTAACAATACTTTTATTATATGAAAATATTTGTCACGTTATATTTTTCATAAAAAATATATTTGTATATAGAAAAATGTAATTGTTACTATTATTAAAAAGTATATATTTGAAATAAATATATTGATAAATATTTTACAATCGATGAAAAAATAAAAGCGTCGAGCTCATTATAAGGACTACAATAGTGTTCTATTTTTAAACATACATTCATACATATATACATACATAAACATATATATATATATATATAAAGATGTAATTGAAGATTATATATATCAAGCAATTCTGGAGATACTAATATTCTGATAAAACTCTATGATGATAATCTACATATCATATCCGATACAGGAAACCAAAGTGCAATTTTCCATATTTGAAGATACAAATAAATTCGTTTACAACATTAATTATGCGCACGATGTTATAAATATTCATAAAGATGACACAAGTAGGTAATATAACAATGCAGATAACAAAATATCTGATTCAATGAAGTTATCACGTACTATGCAAAAAATGATGTGACTAGAAGGAATGTATGTTTATTCAACTTTAAAGCGTTTACTGAATTCTTCTTGTTGTTTCTCCCTCCATTCTTTCTTTGGTTTCATTCTTTTAAGTTGACCGTCCCTAATAATAAAATAAAAACATATATTTTTATCTGCAAACTATAACTTTTTTCTTTGAATTAATTAATTAATTAGAAGAAATAAGTAATTAATTAAAGTAATTTTAATTTTATTTTACCATTGTAAATCAACAAGTCCACCTTGTCTTGCTATAACTGATTTTACTCTATTTGCAAAATCGATGCCAGTTTCCCCTTCGTTTCTATACATTGGAGGTAAATACCAAACCTCGCAAACTATAGCCCAACTGGACATCATCATATACAAGTATTGTAACATCGAATAACGACTGCTATTCCAAAATGCATCACCAAATCGTGGATCGTACTATATACAAAAAAACAAAATTCAGGATAAAAATATTTAAAATTTCCAAGAATGTCTATAAGTACACACACAAATTACCTTGATCGCAACGGGATAAATAACCCCACCTACTTCAAAACTACCTTTTTTGAATTGCATAACGGACGTGTTATTAATACATGTTCCTTCAGGAAAGATTAATATTGGTGGATTTGTGGGATCTGATACGTGTTCTTTTAATCTAAATATAAAATGTAACATGATATATTAAATAATTATATTATAATAAGAAAAATGATAGAAAGTAATAGAATTATGTATATATATATATATATATATATATATTATTGTTTTACCTTCTTGCAACTGCTTCTCTATCTTTAACTTCGGAACGTTCAAACCATATATGCGGAGAAGCACGGGCAAGTGCTCTTTGTAAAATCCCCAAGAATCCACCATGCCTCTGTCCTATCTATTAGTCAGATTAATTAATAATTAAATCATAATTATATTATAATAATATATTATAACATTTAAAAAAAAATCAATTATCGAAGTAAATGAAGAAAAACTTTAAACACTTGTTACAATAAAACTTATTGTTATGTATCTAAACAACAATTTTGAATGAATTTAATATGATTAATACATAATTTAATAAATATTATTAATTATTTATGAACTAAAAGTCTGTAAAAATAAAATGAACACATGATAAATGATTAAACGTACCAGAGAATAGCAATTATCACACATAAGTACAAGTACATCAATAGGAGACGTGTGATTAGCTACACAAATGCCTCTGACTGGTCGATTTTCTGGATGGTGGTATGTAATGACTGAAGATAAAGCACTGGACAATACGGCAAAGCACATTATGGAGACTTTGTAGTTCAGCCATCGTTTGAAGCTACCCTCTGGAACGTAGCCCACTACTGCTGTGCACAATGTCAGCCACATCACCTGTAAACCACAAGCTTTGCACCTGAGAAACGATGAATCCCTCTGAATAGTTGCTGTGTAGATACTACCTGTAAAGCAAAGTTACAGGATACCGTTACCTGTAACACTTATGAATTTATAATGACTTTGACAAGGTAAATTAGATATATCTTGAAAAGATTTGTACTCACAAATGGAATCTCTAGTAGTCAAACTTGAACAATTTGTTAAAAAAAAAAAAAATAATGATTATGCTAAATATGCAACAACAAATTATTCATTATCATATTAATAATAATAATATGTTGCCATTGATGCATAAAGTATAAGTAAAAATACAATTATTTAATATTAATTACTAATAAAGAAAATATTTAGTAGCAATATTTTGGATTATATATTATTACATTTGAAGTATCTGGTTATTTGTCCAACGATTTTGAATATCTGGTAAAAGTCTAAAAAAATATGTTGCCTGGACAAAGTACCTAAGTATATGATAGTACCTAAGAAACTTCATTATTAGTGAAGTTCAATTTTTGATATACATATAGCAAAAACGTATAAAAAATTATAGTGTATGCAATCGTATAAATTGAACACTTTTATGTAAAAATCTAATACTCGATCTATAATAAAATAATATAGAGATAGAGATAGAGATAGAGATAGAGATAGAGATAGAGATAGAGATAGAAAAAGAGAAAAAGAAAAAAAATTCATATTATAATCTCATTTTATAAATTTATACACAACTGAAATGTCATCATTTCATAACCTGTAATAATAGTGATAATATTGCTTAGATTAAAAATGTATATACAGTATTTTAGATGAATTTTCTGAAATTTATTATTATCATAAATATTATAAGAAATAAAAATATGAAATATATTGAACTTACTCCTATGCAACAGATAAGTATTCTCAAAGGTAGAAGAAAACAATATCGCATAAAAAATCCAAACATCCATATAACTGTTAATTTCCAAGATATAAACTCGTAATGCCTATTTGTTCGTGTGAGAAGATTCCAATTCTGGAAAAATAAGGAAATGATAATAGATCAGGTCATGGATATGAGGATCATCATTTTCAATTTTGTATAGTTATAAGAAAATATTAAAAATTTACCTTTAGTTCTTCCGCTTCAAAACGTGAAGTTACTTCATCTTCGATAATAGCTTCTACTCCGGCCCTGATGTAATCTAAGCAAATTGCTGGTTCAAATGCTTTTTTGAGTGTTTCGAAAGAATTGCGTCGTATAAGAGTATTCTAAAAATACATAGAAATATTTTCTTAATATAAATATACATTGTGCGATTCTTATTTTGTTCTTTTAATTGTTTATCGTGTTAATATAATAATAATAATAATAATAATAATAATAATAATAATAATAATAATAATAATAAAGAAAAGCAATTTACCTCCTTACTATTATCTATATCCTTCGAAAGTTCTTCAGTTTTCTCATTTGTATATTCATCTGTATGATTCTTATTATTTTGCATGTCTGGTTCTGGTAATAAAATCAAATCAGTTGATCTAGCTATGACTTGATTATTACTGACAATTCCATTTTGCAATTGACATTCCTTGTCCACAGAATGTTTGTCCAATTTTTTCTTCATATTTCTTGAAATAGATTCATATTCATCTTCCTCCTCTGAAGTATTATTTTTATTTCTTTCTTTTTCTATATTTTGTCTACCGAACTGAAATCAATTACAATAATAATTATTTGTTTATATATTTGTTATATTAAATATTAATAAAAATAACAAATTACGTAATAGAGACAAGCAAAAAAGGAGTCAAAGTATTTAACTTAATATTTATCCATTTAAAATAAACCCGCGAACAGTATTACAGTATTATACTGTATTATACAGTATTATTTCAAAGTAACCTTTGTTCATCACGTGTTAATGCAGATAGGCAAACAATGAAATATGATATATTGGATTTTACTTTGAAGCGTGAATTAAAAATACAATTTCTAAGGCGTACAATAAATGAAATTTAATCAATCTACATATTATCATTTTCCATGAAAGAAATGAACAGCCAAATTTTTCTAATTTGTATGTGTCATATACAAATTTAGTATACTTATATACATGTATGTATATAAGTAATGTTTTACCAAGAAACATTTTTTTTTACAACTCTTTTCCTATGAGTAAACATTGCTTTTGCAATTCAATCAACGCGTATCTATTTACATTGGTAAGATATATGCAAAATATTTCTCCAAATACGAATAGAATATTTATATTGAAAATGAGAAAATATACATGTATGTATTTGTTATTCAAATCAAAAGTTACCAAACTAAATGATATTCTCCATTCTTTAATTTTGGATTATATACTTTTTTTTTTCTTTTGTATATTATAAATAAATGTTTACCAAGTAGATAATATGAAGAAAACAAATGAAACTTAAATAAATATTCAAGGTAATCACAGTCTTGTGAAATCAAAGTTTATCATTACTATGAATAAAAAATAAATCTTTCAATTGTTGAAACACGCGATGTGATTTCATAAGAGATATCGAGACTTACTAGAGTAAAAAAAATGATCATTTCAAACGATTTCTTGCTTATTAATTTATATACAATTTAAAATAAGATTTTTAAAAACAAAAGGACTAATATATGGAGTATTTGTTAGAGAAAATAAAAAATACAGGTGATAGGCGTTAATCAAGAATTAATTAAACAGAACTGTTAGTACTGATAACAGTATTAAATATCAAGATAATAAAAGATATGATTATTATTAAATTAAAAATAATAAGAGAGAGAGAGAGAGAGAGAGAAAAAAAAGTTTCTTGCAATCGGTATAAATTTTGGAATATAATATAAGTATGCAAATGAAATTACATATAGCCATGATTGCATGCAAAATGTTTTTACAATCGGTGATAATTTAAGGTAAAGAATTATAATATAAAATAAATGTAGTGCATTAATTAACATCAATATGAATACTTTATTAGTTCTTCAAATTATCATAATTAAATTATTTTCAACATTTATCATTATCATATAATTAATTGATTGATTGATTATATTTTAACAGATAAATTGAACGATATTGAAAACAATATTAATTTATGTATTTATGATATGCAGATTTGATTGATTTAGATATAAATAAAAATTGTAACATTTAAATATATCGATGTATTACTTAAGTAAATTTTAAATAATGTTTTAATATTAATACACAGATTAATACAAATTCTTTCAATTGAGATAAATGAATAAATCATGTTATAGTTATTTTTAGGTTAAATATGACGGTATATCTAAGATCACTTGAAAGAATGTACATCATTATTATGGAAGAGTATCATTAAATTTATTTATATTCAAGGTTATTAACGAAAAGGAAAAAAAACTCGCTTCCATACGTATTTCATGATTTCTTGCTCAAGAATCACGAGAGAGAGAGAGAGAGAGAGAGAGGAAAAAAAAACAAACATAACCTTAATAGGAAAAAAGAAAAAAAAAGAAGAGTCGCGTGATATATTAAGATAACTATCTTTGATCGAACAGTGTAGTAGATCGATATTGTTAACATAAAACTTGATATAAAATTAGTCAAGAGTTTCAAGATTCAAATTGGCTCACGTTAGAAACTAACTATTTAAAACATGATTCCTCTATTTTTACTAGTTGACTTACCTCAAAAAGTGCTAATAATAGTTTGATATATATTCTTCGAACACCGAGTGATTTACCGATTGATGCCAGAAATATAATAGCAAGTAAAAACATAAGGAACGGCGTTAACAGCAAAGAAAACGCGAATGAAATTACCACCCAGGGGAACGCCATTTTCCTAACTGTCGAGCACTGTCTAGAATTAAAGTTTCGTCTTCGCGTAGCTTATCTTCGTAAATTAAACCGTTGAAAAGAGAAGTCAATACTCTAGATTGTAAACCCTCGAAGTTAGACAGGTTCTTTTAATACAGAACTCTGCTCCATCTATCGAGTGAAGATAAGAAATAAGTACTTAATAATGATTATCGATATTTTCATATCACATTGATATTTAATCTTATCTGTTTTTATCTGATTTTTAATATTTTCACACATTGTTAATGGTGTATATATACTTTTAAATTAATCTTATCTCAGCTTTCATACATTTAAACAAAATTATATTTATTATAAATTTCCTTTTTTTAAAGTTATGCTAATGTTCCATCATTAAGCAAAACTGTTTATTATCACCATCATAATTGTCATTTTTATCACTCAATATCACTTATCTATATGTACATTTGAAAGTTTATTTGCAAAAAACTGTTCACTTTTTTCACTGTCTACTTATTTGAAAGTTCATTAAGGATCTATAAAGCAAATAAAAAATAATATTAATTTAATATGTAATATTTACACAGTAATAGTTCAACGCGTACAAAATTTTGCTGCTGTGTATAATGTAGATTTGTGCAAATGTAGATTTAAAAAATGTATAATAGCTGACTTACGTTCCTTATTTAAAAGATTTAAAAAATGCTGATTCATATATTCCTATTCATTTGTACCATTGTATTAAAACTAATAATATTGAATTAATGAAAGGTCTGAAAAATAAACTCCTAAACATATAACATTCACTATCCATAATTTGTCAAAAATTTGAATTAATAGTAATGCACATGTGTGTATTACTATTTGCCATGTTGTATTAATATTTGCCAATAATAATGAAATTCATTTAATCGCTAGTATTATCAGCTTGATTATCATCCTCTCCACCGCTTACTGAAGCACTCTCGGAATTAGATTCTTCATCAGAATCTTTAAGTACTTTGCCTTTAATATTTTTCTTCGGCCTCATAGTTTCAAAGTCTGAACCTTCTTCGTCAGAAGAATAAATATTTGATGCAGCTGAAGCAAAAGAAAAATATTACAATATTTATAAAAACATACACACATTATAATATAATTTATTATTATTATTATTATTATTATTATTATTATTATCGTTGTTGTTGTTAAGTGGCATTAGAAACTCAAAATACTAAATCCCGACTCCTTCATTCGTGATCCTTATACCCTATTTCTTTAAGATTCATATATATATATATATACCTTTAGAAGTAGCAGCAGCTCCCTTTTTATATTTATTTTTAATAGCTGCAAGAGAAATAGCTCCTTCATCTTCAGAAGCGTCATCGTGATAAGCATCGGCACCATATCCGGTAGAAGCTCTTAATGTACTTCGACCTCCACTGGTAGATTTTTTTGTCTTACTCTGAACACGCATGGCCATTCTTAATTTCTCCTCTTCTTTCTGAAATTTATCATTATTTATGTATTATTTGTATTGAGATATATAAAACAAAATTAATGATAAATTGAAATAAAAAATAATAATGGAAACATTTCATCCTAACCTTAATCATTTCATATCTATTTTGATCTGGATTCATTCCTACTTGAGAAAGAACTTTAATACCAGACGTTTTTTGTGATCTGTCTGCTAAGGACATAGTCATTTTTCTATGTGTAAAGGATTCAGTTGAATGAGGACGGAAAGTTAATTTTGTTCTAAACACTGCTTGTCCTTGTAAACCAGTACCTTGACGTATATAAAGGTGATTATGATCACCTTGTAAGGGCTGTTTATATACATCAAATATTTCAGATCCCAAATGCAATGACATACTGCCATCTGACCATTTAACAAACCTAGCATTACTTTCATGCTCAACTCTTCCACTATCATTGAATACTTCTTTCCATCTTATTGTATTTTCAACTTTGAGTTTTAATCGTGCTCTACCTTCCTCATCTAAAGTTTCTTCCTCGTCAATTTCATCTTCATAAGTGTCATGATCAAATGGTCTAGTTTCTACTGATAAGAAATTAGGAAGCTTGACAAAATGTATTTCTCTTCCTAAGTCTGTTGATATTTTAGGAATTTCCACATCGATCCTAGTTTCTGGCGCTGGTTCTGGTTCATCTTCTTTATCTTTATCATCCTGCAATAAGAATGTATAAAATATAGTTTATGACAATTAAAAAATTACTACAATTACAATTACATAGTTCATGATCATACATCTTCAATAATAGGTTGATGACTTGGTCCTTCCCCACCGCTATCAGATCTTCCTCTACTAAGACTTCTACTTCTACTCCTGCTACGGCTTTTACTTCGACTTCTACTTCTACTTTCACGTTTTTCTTTATCTTTAGTTTCTCTTTTTTCTTTCTCATCATCTGTACTAATATCACTTGCATCACCAAACAAAGCATCTGCTGTTGGAGCTACGCCATTATCTTTATCTTTTTCTGCATCTTCATTTTCAGAATCTGAACCATTTAAAACTTTATGCTTTTTCGTAGTTTTTGTTTCTTCCGAATCATTAGATTTGCGTTTTTTAGATTCTTCTAAATCACTGTCATCAGATTTAGCACTTCCTTCGTTATCTAAAAATGACAAAAGAGATGATATCAATCAATATGACAAGTAGAAACATACACACATACTCGTATGTTTAAATATGTATGTTTTACTCACCAGCTGCAATAAAAGATTTATCAGATTCATTATCACTTCTATCTTCCTTAGGGCTTTGAGACTTTCTCGAATCTAATATCTTCGACTCATTTCCTTCATCAGACTTTCTACTTTCTTCCGATTTTCTACTTTCTTCAGACTTTCTACTTCCTTCTGATTTTCTACTTCCATCTGATTTTCTACTTCTGTCTGATTTTCTACTTCCATCTGATTTTCTGCTTCCGTCTGACTTTCTACTTCCATCTGATTTTCTGCTTCCGTCTGATTTTCTACTTCCATCTGATTTTCTGCTTCCATCTGATTTTCTACTTCCATCTGATTTTCTGCTTCCATCTGACTTTCTGCTTTCATCTGATTTTCTGCTTACATCTGATTTCCTACTACCATCTGACTTTCTGCTTGCATCTGATTTCCTACTACCATCTGACTTTCTACTTACATCCGATCTCTTACTCGCATCAGATCTTATACTCAAATCGGACTTTCTACTTGCATTAGATTTTCTACTTGCATCTGACTTTCTACTTGCATCCGACCTCCTGCTCACATCTGACCTTCTACTTTCATCCGATCTCTTACTTACATCTGACCTTCTACTTGCATCGGATCTAGCTGACCTTATGCTTGATCTTGATGATATAGAAGCGTTGTCGGAATCTGATCCTATGATAACAATTACAATTATATTTAGTAGTGCTTATAAATTCAAAATCTCAAAATAATAGATATACAGATATAACAGATTTACATGTTACATGTACAGATTTACATACATACTGTATATTATTCAATTGCAACCCTTAAGCAATTGCAACATATTATATTTATTTATATCGGCGATTATTGTTAACATAAATTTCATTTATTAATTCTATTTAAATTCTTAAAATTGAAGTACGTACCGGAATCTCCGCTCGAATCTCTTAAATTTTCCTGTATTGGTGACATATTTAATAAATAAACGCACTATAACCAAACAATTAAATTACTATATAGAAATAAATCATGAAAATATAGATAATATTATTAGAACTTTCAATCAATCATCTTTTCTGTACTTTATTTTATCAAATACTCTTAATGTTTAATTTTAATCTAATAACTATTGTGTGTGTGTGTGTGTATGTGTTGAATTACAATGAACATCTACTACAAAAGTATTCACTATTAGTTTTCACGCAGGGAACTTTAGAGTGTAGGGTTTTTATCTTTTATTGGTCTCATCTGATTTGTTAAAAAAAAATATTTAGGCTATTAATTGCCACATGGTCACATGGTCAAGGAATGTTAATATTTCATTTAGAAGAATCTTTTCAATCTATGATATACAAATAATACATAGAGAATAATATTTCTAAAGTATATAGTGTCTCATACAAATATTTTATTCGATAAATCTATATTTGTTCACATTCTATTAAAATTGTCCGTAAAATTATTGACAAAGGTTATATCACAAAAATATAAGCTGTAGGGACCAAAGCGTAACTTCCTACTCACTCCGAGAGATAGCGCAGCGGTCGTCACTGCCAACTGTGTTAGCAACAAGATGTGTTAGGGATTTTGCCCCGAGCCACTCTTGGTATGCTGAGCATTAATCATTCTAACAACATATGGAGGGAAGAGGTAAGGAGTATCATCTCATATGGGAGAAAATTTGAAAAAAAGTCCAGCTGTATGCTATAAATAACAGTTTAGAAACCTTCCAGAATGGCGCTGGTGTAGACAAAGGGTATGGTATGAATGTAGCAATTGTAAACGAATTGAAGTATGCCGAGTTACAAAATTTAATATTATTGGCGACTAAAGTAGTTAATTATTGAAAATTTCAATTACTGCGTAGTACAAAATAATGTAGTAAATATAACCTTAAAGAATTATTATGAGCTACACTTAGTGTAGCTAGAGTGATTTTATTTCGTCAACTGTGAATAGTACGTTTATTGATTTTTTATCATTTAATTTTATAAAAAAGTATGTGAATAACAAAACAGTTATGGGTAAAATTTGTCTTGTGAAATTTGTGTTCCTTGTTTATTTCTCAATCCTTCTCTAATAATATTTGGCGCTTCCTTTAAAATTTACCCTGAAGCTATTGTGGCGCCACCCTAATTGAATGCATTTAAACGGACACTTTTCATATACACAGATTATGTGTACCTCTTACCTCTACACTACATTACAACCAACATTAATGTGCCTAGTTTCTTTCTTCTTTTTTTTTGGACAAAAACAAGCCCATTAGGTCAATGTTAAATTAAACTATCCATCTAGTAACTTTCCGATGGCGTGCTTTTCTGCTTCCGTTTCAAAGCATTACATTCGTAAATATTAGCAATGATTGGATATTTACGTGGTTACATAGGAATGGTTTAATATTATTAATGGTAAGAGAGTAGGAAGTGTTCGAAAACAGTAGTATACAGTGATCCCATTCGTACGATAATTTGATGCCCCGTACGATCCAAAATTCGTGGTGTACGATCCATTTGGAATTTCGAAAACTTGATGACCTTTTTTTTTTTAATCAACAAATTTTGGAAAGGTGCAGCACCACCCCCACCACCACCACCCCTACTACCACCACGATCCGTGTACGCATTCTACTTAAAAAAAAAAAAATAAATAAAAAAAAAACTTTGAAAAAGTTGGAACTTGGACACTTTTTTCACATTTTGAAAATTTCGTCCGAGAAATTGTCGGATTTCAAATTTTCCCGGGGCGTACGATAATTTTACGCCCCTGTGTCGATCAGACGAACTAAAGTCTCTGGGATCACTGGGGATCACTGCTGGTAGTATAGTACAGAAACATTGTAAGACGACCTAGACAGACGTCAGTAACAAAATGTCGTCCTCCGTTGAACTTAATCCGAGACCCGTCCGGGTATCTCCTTTAATAAAGGTACATCAAACAAATTTTAATATATTCTTTTAACATATATTACATGCGATTAATAAATATTAGTAATAAAATTTAATATAGTAACATATTACAATTTATGTACGTCTTATTACGTATTAATTGATAAAATTAATTTCCATTCAAAAATTGTATTTTATTATATAACTTTATATATTATGATTGGAAAATTAAACAACAATACATTGTTATTAAAGATTAATATTTCATTGTTTAAAGTTTGTTCGAAATTTTATTGTGTCATTTGTTTTCTAACCATTATATTTTTTGATAGTTCTCTATGCAAAATTGGTGTTTAATTGACACATCTATGTTTTTCATTTTAAATAGAAATTAATTATGAACAACTAGGAGATATATTAATTCAATATATTTAAACATATATATTGAATAAAAGAAAAGTTTTAATATCTGTGAATTTAATGTTATTATTATACTCAGTTTTCACGATGGACATTTCTTACTGTGGGAATATTATATGGAGCTTATTTTCAACGTAAATTTAGTAGAATAGAAAATACTCGTAGAGAGAAAGAAGAAAGAGAGAGACCAGCACGAGAAGCAAGAGAAGCAGTTGAGAGAGCTATAAGATTAGAAGGTAATTTTTCTTTATTATTATATATAACTAATTATAATGATTTATATTTAAGAATATATTGTCATTCTAAAAAGTGATTTCTAACGTATACAAATTGTGTATTTTATATATATTTATATTAACAACTCTATTTATTTTTTTCTTTTCAGCTGAAAAGAAGATGCTAGATGACCTTCTACAAACAAATAAGTAATTTTATGTATACTATTCCTAGTGCATCATTAATGGAAACTATCTTCATGTAAATAATAATAATAAAAATATTATAATATTCAATATTCATCTATGCACCTATGCACATATGCATTACTCATTAAATTATCTAAATGCATTAATATGAAATCTTATTTTGAAATATGTACAAAATTTACTTCATTATTGCGAGGATTAAGTTTTCTTTTTTTTTATAGGATATATATATATATATATATATATATATATATGATTTATTTTATTAAATGCGTAATAATACGTATATGTTATAATGACATTTATAATGTATTAATTAAGTACGATTTGTTTTTTTCAAGTCATTTAAGTGAACATTTTCTCTTCGTAAGATTTATTTCATACATGTATATTTTTGTATAAATTTACCCTTCAATTGTTTTATTAAATGTTAATTAAACTCATGAAAAAGAGATAATATAATATTTGAAAAGATTAATAATTTTTAATTAGGTATGTAAAAATAAAAGATAAGAGTATAACAATATATTCATTTTATTAAGGAAACGTTGATATTAAAGAGAAAAAAAATCGCCCGAACAGGGACTCGAACCCTGGACCCTCAGATTAAAAGTCTGATGCTCTACCGACTGAGCTATCCAGGCTCGCTATACGATATGGCAAAATACACATACGTATGGTAAAATTTTATTTATTACTTATAAATCAATACAATAATATTTACATTTTACATTGGAAAACATATAAAAAATAATACTTATTTTCGACTTATTTAAATTAATATACTACAAATAAGTGAAAGAAAAAGGATAATAAAATCACAATGTTTATTTAGGAATGCATTTTAATCATAAAACATATATATATATATANTATAATAATAATAATAAGAATTATAATTATTTACAATAATATTTGTTTGTACAAATAAAAATAATTTGATCATTGTGGAATGGTTACAGGAGTAAAATTATGTAGAAATTAAAAGCAAAAAAATATTAATGATACAGACAACAATTAACAATGTGTATATATATTCTAACAATATAATATACTTGGATATTCACAGAATTTATGTGGAAACATAGAATATTTTTTGTTCTTTATAATGATTAATTATAAATATTGTCATAAATTGCTTTTAGAGATTTTTGTTCCCATTAATTATTTTCCAGAATCTCATTTCCATTTTTAAGATTCTACCAATGTTGTCTTGTTGTCTTTAGTAATTAGCTGAAGAAGACTACCATTGGCAGGACGATCCTTATTTTGCGACCATTTCCAAAACAAGCTATAAATAATTTATTAATATATAATATATGTATATAATAAAATATTGATTGTATATGTTATACATACTCTGATACAAATTCAAGAGGTGTCCATGTACTTTTGTCAGCTTTAGGCATCCACTTTCTATTCATTGGGGTGTCCAAAGTAACAGGTAAAATAGCGGAAACAATAGAATCTTGAGGTAAACCACTGTCCTTGGAAGCTAAGGATTTGGTTAATTGATGGACTGCTGCTTTAGCCATCCCGTAACCAATCATACCTAAATATTTAGGTAATGGAATTTTTTCAGTCATTTTTTTATAAAATGATTAAAAGGATTAAAAGGAATTTTATTGAAAGAATTCTTTAGAAACCTGGGGTTCCTTCTAATGCAGCTTTAGCACCAGTCAATGCAAGAAATCCTCCTGTCTTTAAATAATGGGACGCAATTTCAGCCGCAATAGCTGAGCTCCAAACACTTTGTTTCCACATAAGATCATTATTTTTGATAAAATCTGTACTAGAAGCATTTCCTCCAGCCCATCCACCGGCTACGCAAATTACCCCATCCACTTTTTCTTCATTCAAAATCTTCTTCAGTTCTGATAGGATATCACTTTCCTAAATAATACATATATGGAAATGTTAATAATTAATAATAAAATTAAAATTAAAATTAAAATTAGATATATCAAAAGTGCTGTGCACCTGTTCCTCCCAATTTCTAGTAGCTTTCAGAACAATGTTAGCATCTGCATCTTCATTCGGTTTCATATCAATGGATCCAACCCACTGAAAACATTTTGACAATTACAATGATAAATAACTTGGTATTTAAATAAAAAAAAAAAAAAAAAAAATTAGCCAAATTTTTATTTATATATTTATTACCTGATATTCATTTATTTTATTTCAACAAATTATAATCATTTTTATTAATATTGTTAAGTAATAATGTTAAATATTATATATAAAATATAAAACACACATATGGAAAATATGCTGTCTCATACATATTCATTTACACGAAAGGAATTGTTCCGATCCATAATATGACGTGAGAATAGCTACGTGTGTTGCGCATCTTATCAATATAACATAAATTATAATTTCATTTATAAATATTAATTCACTACAATTAGAAAAGTAATTATTTATTTTGCAAGTGTTTCTTCAATATTATTTATCTACAGAAAGCATAATTCATTAAAAGATATCATTGGAAATAAAATGTTTGTTTATTACAATATTGCAATAAGTAAGTCATTCTTCATTAGAAAGGAAATGCGTATTAGCCTTCATAAACAAGGTTATCCTTTAACACAATATCAGTGTCCTTGCGTAACTTTCCTTCATGTTACGTGCCATAAAATTATTATACATAAAAAAAAAAAAAAGGAAAAGAAAAAACAAGTGGAAACGTACAAACACTTCAGAGAAAAAAAAATGAAATCGTCGGAATTTAGAATTATTTATCTTACGGTATTATTTAAATATATTAATAAAATTTCAAATTCCCGCGAAAAATTGAACTGATTTAAACAATAAATCAGTTTAAATCAGTTTAAATCAGTTGCAATAAGTTGCAATAAGTTGCAATCAGTTGCAATTAATATTTCGCATAATTAATAACAAATTACTTATAAGAGTCAATCATTTTCATAAAAAAAAAAAAAGTAAAATATAATATTAATTAGATGATTTTTTATTTTTTATTTGAAATTATTCGAATTATAATATTGTATTGAAATATTGATATGCGCGCTTACCCAATTTTTTGATTTAAATTGAGATACACAAACAGAACCGAGTGCACCCTTTCCACCGTAAACGATAACACGTCCCAATACCGTTGCCATTGTTCACAAAAGGTGCATAAATTCAACGATTCGCGAGAATGGTCCGGGATTCAGCGATCGACTACGAAAGAATACGAATAAGAACGAGCTTGACTTTCGGAAAATGTCGTGAGAGAGGATTGCTAGATTGCCGGTTCTCGACATAGAATAAAATACTAGATGACCATTCGAGAAGATAATTTTGGATTACGTTATATTAGATATATATTGTTTGAAAGGTCGACACGAAACATCATTTCATTCGTTAGAATATGAAAGCAAAATAATACAAAAGATTAATTTCAGATTAAATTTTTCTTTAGTTTCAAATAAATATATATAATATATAATTATTTTGACATGAAAACCATTTGAATAAAGTTTATGAAATTCTTTTATTAGCGATTGGTCAATTTTTTCGTGATAATAACACTATCTGTAATTTGAAAAGTAATGATTTTAAACAATGATAATTAAAAATATAGATTATAAATATAAAAGATAAGAATGTTATTGCAATGATGTCTAGTAAATATTGGAAACATTTGTAAATATTTGTAATTATTGTTTTGAAAGATTAGATTAAATTGCGTTACATTCAATTTCATTTATCCCGCGCTGATAATATTAATCGTGGCAACGTCGCATGTGCAGAAAGAGAGGCCGTGCCCGTAATGTTCTCCGGGAGCGTAGGCTAGTGTGACGTCACGGTAGCCTAGTTGGGTTAGGTTTTACGCTGGAAATTCTAACGAAAAATTTTTGTTTGACGATTGATGTTTTCCTCGTCGCATTTAACGAACTGAACGACGTAACGAGCTGACGTAGTGGCGACCAGTGATCGTGTTTTATAAGTCGTACGATCGCGAAACCCCGCGCTGTCGACGTATATGAAATTTTAAACGGAAAATGAGTCGACATGAAGGTATGTATGTGTGTGCTACCTTCTGACTAGCAAGTCAGCTTGGTCCTCCTTGTGTGCACCCAATATAATATAATAATGGTAGACAAGATTTTCATATCTGATGGTATAATACATATTCATGATGAATTTATATCGCATTCAGGGATAATAGGATGATTTTTTTTCATGTTAAATGTTTCTCGGAAACGTTTCTCTTTGAGCTCAAGAGACGGATCGTCCTAATGTCAGTGCCAGGTGGCAGCACTGATACGAAAATTCACACGAATTTTTGCCAATTTAGATTATACTTTTTTACCTATTAAATCAAATTATTTTTAATATATATGGCCAATATTATTCATGTTTTTCAATGTTTTTAAAATAATCATTAATCGATGCTGCTTAATGACAAATGATGAGTTGTCAAAATGCATTACCAGCTGATTACTTTCAGATCATTTTTCATTCTCACTCAGGTCAGTCTCTGTTATCCCCTCGCTCTTCCCCTCTTTCATTCTTGATGATAGATAATTTTACTCTTTTCAAACATATTGACATTATTTCTTTTTCTTTCCAACATTTATCTATATTTTTAATCTTTCATCTATTAACACTAGTTCAGTGAATTTTTCTTAATGATCCTTGTTAACACTTTCCCAATGACATAATATTTCTTACAAATGTATTGAATAATTTAAAAAAAAAAACTTATTTACATTTGTCCTAACGTCATTTTTCTAGATAATAACTTTGAATAAAATCTTGACTTTGGTGTTCTCAGTATGAAGATTTGGATCATAATAACTTTTGCATAACAAGCTGTTTTTTTTTTTTTTATAGATGCATATATATATATGTATATATGATATACATATAAATAACATTGATATCTATTTATTTTTTCTAATATATCATGAGATGCATAGAAAAGAGTTCTAGTTCCAAAGAATAATTGCATAATCAGTATTTATATTTGCACACAGTTGCTTTTTTTATAAATATAAATATATTAGATTTTGTATGAATTTAATTACAGGGGTAAGCTGTGACTCCTGCTTAAAGGGTAATTTTCGGGGTCGCAGATATAAGTGCCTCGTATGCTACGATTATGATTTATGTGCTACCTGCTATGAAGGTGGTGCAAGTACTACACGCCACCTTACTGATCATCCTATGCAGTGTATTCTTACAAGATCTGATTTCGGTTAGTGTGACTAATTGTTTATATAGTAAATAATAATAATAATAATTAAATAGTGACTGAATTTTAATATAATTATTATTTTTCAGAATTGTATTACGGTGGAGAAGGTGTCAGTGTAGAACAACCTCAATCTTTAACTTGTCCTTATTGCACAAGAATGGGTTTTACAGAAGCTACTTTACAAGAACACGTTGCTGCAGATCATCCAGACACTTCATTTGAAGTTGTGCGTATATTTTAAGAAATATTGATTATTCTAATAACAATATTTTATATTGTAGAAACTATAAGATTATTATTTAAGTTTTAAAACTATTTTTATTAATATCTTTGATATTCTGTGTCTTAGGTATGTCCAGTTTGTGCAGCTTTACCAGGTGGTGATCCGAATAATGTAACAGATGATTTTGCTGGTCATTTAACATTAGAACATCGTAGTGGGCCAAGAGATCTTATTTCTCTTTTGGATGAGCCAGCTACAAGTCGACATGGAGTTAGACGAATACCACACCCATCTAGAGGTGTAGGAGGGCAACGTCCGCGCAGGTATACAAAATTATACGTGTTTAATAATAAGGGATGATTATACAATTGCTGAATTATTTTTAACACTTATAAGATTTGTGAACAGGAAAACATATTTCTGCATTATGTTTCCCCTCAGTAAGCATCATTTTACATAAAATATGACACTATTTTTAACCACTATGAATGGTCGAAACGATATTGCTTATTATCTTATTTAAAAGTTATCTTTTGGTTCATATTTCAAAGATTTTTCTTAGAGATTTCGTAGAGGATATATAATGGTAAAAGTAACGGTTATTTTATCCTATTCCAATTTGAGACTATAAAAAACGGTAAAAGTATTTTTGTAGGAATTTTCATGACCTTTATTACTAAGTGGGTAATCACATATCTTTCAGTGTTAAGGCACATTGTCATCCTATTGTAGATAATGTTCATTGGAATGTCATTGGACCTTCAGGTCCAATATGCATTTCAGTTCGTCTGGGGGCTTAAGTCCAAGTAGTCGAGAGGGTATAGATCCAATAGCAGAATTGTTGTCACAACTGTCGGGGGTTCGTCGAACTGGAAGTGGAACTGGACAAAGTTCTTCTGCACCATCTCAGCTACAGCAGTTGCAAATGCAGTTACAATTGGAACGACAGCAAGTTAGAGTATGTTCAGTTTTTACAGTTTCCTGTGCTCGGTAAAAATTGCTTTTCTTTTCTTTTCTTTTTATAAGCATATTATTATTAATTTAAGTTGAATATAGTGATTATTAAATAAATCTAGAATAATAATTAACACTTTATCGAACGGTTACTTTGCTCAACAAGTATAGTTAATAATGTTATAATGTATTTACATGTTATCATTTAATATCAATGTAAACAAATATCTAATTTACAGTTTCAAATTATTTGTGTTTTGCCGTCTAAAATTTACATTGTAAAGTCATATTAATGTCACTTTTAGCAATATAAATACTTCGCCTGGTAGAGCGAAATGTTAGGATAAAGTGTTAAGAGATAAGCTAATTAATAGAAATATTTTTAAGTTATTAAAATATTTATATATCGCACACGTATTTTTTATTTATTAAAAAGTACGCAAAAAAATATATTATTTATCAATTTGACAAACAAACTGAACACATTTTGGCACGAGTAAATTTTATCTGCTGAACTATCTGTTTGAGTTTTAGAAGTTATATTAGCTAAAATACTTTTATGATTTTCTACATTTTCCAAAATGTTTTGTTTAATAGAAAAAGGCATTTGTAATAAATGGTAGGGTAACATCTGTTGTTATTAATGTGCAATCGACACGCAATCGACACGTAATCGACGCGCAATGTGTTAATACGCGTACTTCGAGTCAATCAAAACAAGTTAGAATGATATAAACAATCAAATAAGAATACGTAAGAAAAATATCTATATAATATTATATCTATGCATTTGAGTGGTAATATTTTTCAGCGCACAAGAAATACGTTAATATTGATTAGTGAAATATATAAAATATGTGTAAAATTTGTAATTACTTTACTTGGATAATAATTATGTTAATGATAATATCTTTAATGTTAATAATTTGTACATTTTAGGCTGCTAGGCAACAGTTGGAACGGTTGCCCAGGAGACAGACGCAGGTTATTGGTACAGTTAGTGGGGGTGGTGGTGGTACAAGTGGTGGTCACTCTACTACTATGGCAAGTGTAGTAGCAAACAGTACAAGTAGTAACAATAATGCAGCCAATGCGGCCAACTCATCTGTTGTTTCATCTACCAACTCACAGAACTCAATGTTTCTGTTGCCTAGGTAATTGCCATTAATTATTTCTTTTTTAATTTTTATTTTCTTTTATTTTCATACTTTCTTTATAGTTTTTGTTTTTTCAAATTTCTATTTAATTTGTACAGATGCATTACAACTACATTATCTGATTCGCAATTGCAAAATATTGAACGCGAGAGTGCAAACAGAAGCCTCTTCGTACGTGAAATTACGCTTGGGACGCTTTCGCAAACATTGCCAGATTTGCTACAGCAACAACTGTCTATTGCACAGACTCCGATATCAAGTGCAACTACTGCCACGACAAGTCCTGAGACACCAAATGCAAATGCTTCCACGATTTCCACGAAAAAATTAAATGTAACTCAAGAAACAAAACGAGATCAGACATCAAGTAAACATGTAACGTCACCGCCTGTGCAACAACAACAACAACAACAACAACAACAACAACAACAACAATCGCACATTGTCCAAGCTGCAACTGGTAGTGTAGTAGGAACAGGTCTGCAAACTCAAGCATTATCTACAAATTCTACTAGTATCACGTCGCAGAATCCACCTATAGTTCAAACGTTGATGCATACTGTACTACCCCAACCACTGGTGAGTTCTCCTTAAGTATATGATAGATAGAAATTCTGCAATTTCAATTTCGAAAATGTTTGATTTATTTATTAATGAAATAAAGATTGTGCTGATGTAAACTAAACAGTATGTAATTATTAATG